TTTCCTGGTTACAAGCCACTTCAGTCTCACCAGAGTTTGGGGACACTAAGACCTGGTCAGTTTTAGAGATCACAGGCAGAGGCAGGCCCTCCAACTTTCCATATTCTTGCCCTTCCTCTTAGACCCACAGTTACTGCTCTGCAAGCTCTAGGTGGGGCAGGATTTCAGGGGAGTGTCCCTTATGGGACAGGAGGAAATAACCGGCTCTATTGATTTTTCTCCCCAACAATTTAGACTTGGAGAGTAAGGCAGCTGGAAGAACAAGGAGGGCTAAGTAGACATCTTTGAGAGACTGAGCCAAGTGAGCTAGACTATGCAGCATCTAGGAGAGTTGGTGCAGGTGATCCCAGGAGGTATAGGGGAGAGTGAATTCAAAGCTGGAGACCAAAGAGGATGCGGGTGGAGCCGTTCCCCAGGCAGCAGGCAGACAGAGGGCCAAAGGGCGGACTTGCCTCCAGTCCAAGATGGGACAGTAGAGCAGAAATCCAGCAGGAAAAAAAAAAAAAAAGGAAACTAGTTACCAGGAAAGGTTTTCTTAGTCCTTAAAGAACTTCAGCCTTCAGAGACTTAAAAAGAGGGAAAAGACCTATCTTTAAGGCTGTTCTGTCCAGCACAGTAGCCTGTGACTCACTGGCTGTCAAAGATGCTAGCCTGCTCTTCTCTCAACTTATGCCTTCCCCCACTGAGCAAATGCAGTTCTTCTGGGATGTCTGGAAAGGCCACAGGCTAACAGTCCTAACTCTACCTCTTGAGATAGGGAAACCAGCTATGCCCTAGGCCCCAGTTACCTGTAAAAGAAGGAAAATAAACTCCCTGGGGCTTGCTTCCTCATCTGAATACTAGGCATGGTGACAGAATCTTGTTTCCCTGAATCTAAGGTGGCACCAGTGTTATGCATGAATCGCCATTATCTTTAATACATTATTAGGGAAATCTTCCACCCACCAGACTGTGACATCACCAGTTAAAAGACTTCAGAGGTATTAACACTCCCAAACAAACAGGTAAGTCAGAAAACCCCAGAACTTGTCTTACAAGGTTGTCTCAAGAATTAAACCAAATAACACAGCTAATATACTTCGTGCCTGGCACAGAGCAAGACGTCAGTAAATGTCAGGGGAATGAGTAGGTCAGGATGGAGAGAGGGCAGGACACAGGCCAAGAGTGGAGAAGGGAATGACAGCCAGGGTTGGAAGCCACCCTCCCTTCCTGGCAGTGTGCCACTCCAAAGCTCCAAGTCAAGCCCCTATAGGGGACAGAGGAAGAACAGCCGTGCAACCCATTCTAGGGAACCACAGAGAACAAAGGGCCCCCATCTGCACCCCGGAAGTCAGCCTAATCTCCAGGATGAATATGTTTTCATTCCCCAGAAGTTCCTGCTCAAGTGTGCCAAAACGTTTTTCCTTTATGATACAGGCAAACAAGGCAGGTTTACTTTGGGTGACCTTCTCATCACCACCCAAGGCCTGCCAGCCTCGGGTAAACACCTGCTTTCCTCCCTCCAGGTAGCTCCTGGTAGGAGTCTAGAAGGAAGCCAGAGTACCTAGCTGTCTGAGGGTCAGGCTTGGCTTAGCTGTCTGGGTTCCCAGATTCCCATTTGGAAGACCTCAGAAAGACCCTAGGAGACATCAGTGTTTTGTCCCCCATCTCATACATGTAGAACCTGAGGCTCAGTGAAGGATAGTGACATTCCAGAGTATCTGTATGACAACACACATGTGTGTGAGCACACACACACACACACACACACACACACACACACACACACATGCACACGCACACTCTCCACCTGACCTTCAGTGTCCAGGACAGACAGGAGGCTTATCTTTGCCCTTTCCTCCTGTGCATGCGTCACTGTCACCAACTGTGTAGAGATGTCATTATGCAGGAGGCTCTTGCTTCACAGCTGGAGCAAGCACTGTTGCAGAGCAGCAGCCAGGCCCTTTGCAGGAGGAGCTGAGCTCAATGGTAAAGGGCTTCCCTAACACTCACGGGCATTGGGGTCCACCCAGGACAAAAGAAATGTGCTTCTGACCACCCCCTCACTGGACTGGAGTGGGAGTGAAAGGGAGTGCTATCAGAACGGTCATAATCCTTACCACTGTTTTCACAGACTAGAGCCTCAGCATCAGTGTAATGAGCAGAGTGGAGGGATTTGTGTCCATCATGGGGCTCCACCGTTCACCAATCCTGTACCACTGCCTGCCCCATCCCATCGAGCCTTTCTTTCTCAGCTGCATCCTGTTCTCCCAGTACCTGGAATATTTTTCCTTACATTTTGCCCCTGAATGCCCTAAATTCATAATTAGGCTCCCAGTTTGCACTGTTTAGAGAGACCTTCCACACCCACACAGTCATGGGACTATTTTATTTCTTCATAGTTCTTTGCAATGTCTCTTAAGACTCCACCCCCATGGGTTTCAAGTACCTAGACTAGGGGGTATTAGTAAGCCCCCGGTGACACTTATAGGATGTGTGTGAATGGTCAGGCACCCTTATCTGTGCTGGACTCTGCCACTGCTTTTATTCCTATGCTATGCCTATCCTTTGTTCCAGGCTCTGCTTACCCTTCTCTTCTTACTCCCTTTCCCCACTTTGCCTCCCGGATTTCTCTTGGGAGACCTTGCTTCTCAGACTCCACTGGAGGTACCGGAACAAGAAAGCCTCCCCAGGATTATTTTCAATGGTTTCCTGGGGTGTTCACCTGGATAAGAATAAGGAGAGACAGGGCACTTTAATCCTACTTATCTAAAACTATATAATCTTCCCCAATCACTTAAATGGTACCTATGTCTCTAATTACAGAGCAGGCTGGGGGGAACACTAGCACAGCTTCCAGCCAGCCTCAAGCAAAGGGACACTTCAGCCCCCCTTGGGAGCCCACAGGGATTCTGGCTCAGGAGCCAGGACTCCAGACACCTGCTGCCACAGACCCACCCATGAGAGACAGTCTTTTCTACCCAGACAGGGACCACTCCCCTTTTCCTGAGAAGGGTCAGTCACTCCTGTTTTAGTAATACTCAATTGACCCATGACCCCACTTAACTCTGTCCACCACTGTGGGTAGAATTGATTTCTTTTGGGCTCAGTCTAACTTTTCAGGGTAGCATTGGGAATGAGCAGGTCCCTGGAACATGGGCTCCGAGACCAGTTTCTCAGGAGCAAACTTTGTAGGAAGCCTTGGAGCCAACAGTCATGTGATAGGCCTGGTCATAACATCACTGTCCAGAACTATGTCATCTGGGTCATGAGATGGGAGTATAGAAAAGCCGCTTGCCTGTGTACCAGCTCTTGGCTAGCAAACAGCTTTGGTCTCAGCTGGTGATTTTCAGCAATAACTACGGCTGAACTGTGATGATATCTCTGCTTCTTAAAGGTCTTTCAGGTCCTGAGCTAAACACTCAAACAAGGGGGACACACGTAATCCCTACCCATGACTCTGGGCAGGAAATAGTGAACCCAGCCCTCAAGGGAGTGCCTTTCTGAGCCACTTTCCCTATTCAGGTGCTGAGAGATTGTTTATCAGCCCTTTTAAGAGATTAAGTTGTCGAAGCAGCAGGCTACTCAAGTAATGCGTCCAAGGGGCCCAAGTGTCAGGTGACTGGACCGGCACTTTGGCTCATCAGACTCCCACATCCTCCAACATCCTGCTCTGAAGAAATCTAGAAGCTTAATGGTGGATGACAGGCTCCACTCATCCTTGCTGTTTAGGCAGCCCCTCTGCCTGCAGGACAGCTGGGTTTCCTGTTTGTTCTGAGGGGTTTTAGAGTCCAGCAGGGTCCCAGTCAAATGAGCAAAGGCACCATGAGACTGGTTTTGAGTACCCGTGTCCTGAGAATGTATAAGAATGGTTACTGCTCCCTTCAGGGACTTCAAGGAAGGCTTCCTGGGGAAGGATACATAGAAGCTGAGGGCTTGGTGATGAAGAATAAAGAAGCTGCAAGTTGGGGATTGAGGTGTGGTTCAATTGGTAAAGAGGCAGAAGGCCCCAAATGCAATCTCCAGCACTACATAAAACTGAGTGTGTTAATGGGCCCTGGTGGCACACGCCTTTAATCTCAGCATTCAGGAGGCAGAGGCAGGTGGATGTCTGTGAGTTTGAGGCCATCCTGGTCTACAGAGCAAGTTCCAGGTCAGCCAGGCTTACACAGAGAAACCCCATCTCAAAAACAAAAACAAAAAAAGCTGGGTGTGGTGGTCCACACCTATAATCCCAGCAGGGGCTACAGGAGATCCTGCCCCACACAAAGGAAGGTGTGTGTGTGTGTGTGTGTGTGTGTGTGTGTGTGTGTGTGTAATCCCCATTGTGGGAGGATATTTTGTGAGTCCTGGGAATGAAACTGAGTCCTCTGGAAGAGCAGTAAACTCTTTACCATCTTGAGTCATCTCTCCAGCCTCAGGGAGAGTTTGACAAAGTTTCCTGCCTTTGTTTGGTTCAGGGTTTAGTAGCAAGCTGGGAAAAGCTCAGCATGGTGATACACACAGAGAGACAAGAGGATCTCTGTAAGTTCGAGGCCACCCTAGTCTACAGAGAATGTTCCAGGTCAGCCAGGGCTACATAGAGAGATTCTATTTCAAGAAGAGAAGAAGAAACGAGGAGGAGAAGAAAAGGAGGAGGCGGAGGAGGAAAAGAAGAAAGAAGAATATGAAGAAGAAAAGGAAGAGGAAGAGGAAGAAGAAGAAGAAGAAGAAGAAGAAGAAGAAGAAGAAGAAGAAGAAGAGAACTTGGCTTCCTAGTCAGTCTTCAGTTTATGGAATCGTGGCTGGTAAAGCCTTCACAAGCCGCCCAGGCTTCACGAAGCTTACAATTTGCAGGATAGTTTTGCCTTCATCCCCTTATTTGAGAGTTCAGAAAACTGAGCCTGCCAAGGAAGTCTAACTGAAACATGTCTCTTTAAAAGAGGGAAGACGATGCCACAGCCACGCCCCCTACTCATTAATATTGAGTTATCGTGAATATTGATGTGGGGGCCTGGGGCCTGGGCCAGCTGGGCTAACCAGGGTTCCAGGTTTCAGACCCAGGAAAGTGACAGAAGCTGTGCCTAGGAAGAGACCCAGAGAGATCGCTGCGACCCGGCAGCCACCCAGTCTCGGGGGAGCATTGAGCTCCCCCACCCCCGGTTCCCACCCGACCCGGGGGTTCCTCTAGCATCGGCCCCACCCCCGGGGTCCCCATGGAAGCCAGCTGCGCCCCGGGAGGAGCTGGAGGAGGAGTCGGC